CACTGCTCTTTTAAGGTCTATCCATAGATTTTCAATTATGTTGAGGTCAGGAGATTGTGAAGGCCATGGCAAAACCTTCAGTTTATGCCTCTTGATGTAATCCCCCGTGGATTTCGAGGTGTGTTTAGGATCATTATCCATTTGTAGAAGCCACCCTCTCGTTAATTTCAGCTTTTTCACAGATGGCATCAAGTTACCATCCAAAATTTGCTGAAATTTTATTGAATCCATTTTTCCTTCTACTCGTGAGATGTTCCCTGTGCCACTGGCTGCAACACAACCCCAAAGCATGATTGATCCAACCCCATGCTTAACAGTTGGACAGAGTTTCTTTTCATTAAATTCTGTGCCTTCTTCTCCAAACATACCTTTGCTCATTCCGGCCAAAAAGTTCAATTTTAACCTCATCGGTCCACAGAACTTGTTTCCAAAATGCATCAGGCTTGTCTATATGTTCATTTGCAAAGTTCAAACAATGATTTTTGTTGTGAGGACGTAGAAGAGGTTTTCTTCTGATGACTCTTCCATGAAGACCATATTTGTACAAGTGTCTCTTTATAGTGGAATAGTGTACCACAACTCCAGTGTCTGCCAGATCTTTCTGGAGGGATCATGCAGTCAAACGTAGGTTTTGAATTGTTTTTCTCACAATCCTGCGAGCTGTTCTGTCTGGTATTTTTCTTGGTCTTCCAGATCTTGCTTTAACTTCCACTGTTCCTGATGACTGCCATTTCTTAATGACATTCCGAACAGAGGATATTGACATCTGAAAACGCTTTGCTATCTTCTTATAGCCTTCTCCAGCTTTGTGAGCGTCAACTATTTTCAGTTTCAGTTTTCTAGACAACTGCTTAGAAGAACCCATGGTGCTGATTGTTGGGGCAAGGTCAGATGAGTCTGGGCATTTAAAACCTTTGAGATTGACATCACCTGGTCTTCCCAGACAATGATTGAGAACAATCCATGACACTGGCAGGTCTCAGCTTGGCAAAGGGGGCAGTGCATGCTATAATTTCTGCAGGGTGCCCAAACTTTTGCAGACGCCATTTTTTTGTTTTTTCTGTTATTTTGAAAGTGTAAATGATGGAAATAAAATCTAACTTTTGTTGACATATTATAAGAATGTCTAATCTGTAATTTGATGCCTTTTGGAGATTTTTCCATCTTTCCTTGGCTTCTTTATGCACATTAATACAAATTTTTAGCTGGGGTGCCCAAACTTTCGATCCCCACTGTATGTGAGATAACAGAAAGTGGTCACCATGCAAGAACACTTAATTATTCGGGGGGGATGTGACAACATGTTTTACTACACCAGGTGACACCAACCCCCACTGGAACCAGCTATTCTTCCGTTTCGAATTCAATTCAAATACTTCGAATCCCACTGTAAAAGTCTGAATCTGGTAGAAAAGGAATAAACAAAACAAAAGTAAACAAATGTAATTTTGTTGCGAATGCAATGAAACTAAATTAGACAAATGTTTTCATTCTGCACATGTCCAGCGGAAAATGCAGGGTGTATTATTATTATTATTGTGTTAACTGATTCTAATTCTGCTTATTACTGGTTACATCAAAATGGTCAAAACGGTGTTAATAACACAGGCTTGGTAGTTCTATATTATAACAAAATTTCACCAATTATAGCTCCCTATATTGTCCAGAACTAAAGAGGCCTATTCACATGCTGCGTACTAAAATACCTTGGTAGGGCCATAAACAATCATAAAAATATCCACATAAATAAATAAAAATCTCTGCACTATACTGTATTCCGAAATACCAAGAACTACCAAGCCTGTGTTATTAACACCGTTTTCACACTAGCCCCTAGTATATAACCACAAGGTACCAGGATATTATGACCCATAATTTGGTAATTTTATTATATTAACGGATTATGCCCCAATTTAATATAGGTGCCTATATGCAATTTTGGGGTGTTCAGAAGTTTTTATATATGTATACGGTATTGTGTATATAATTCTTTATTATTGTGGAAAAAGTTTTAAGGTCTAGTTTTTATTATTTCATTTATGAATAACGGAATATAGCCCCTATGCCATGGAGATAGCAATCATTATTAAGAGGGCTTCTGCGGCACCTATTGGTGCATTCCCCCATATATATTGTACTCTGATAAATGGCTCTAGGTCGGGCCTTTCTTTTTGGGGTGGAAGGTATCTGTACCCATCCATATATGATGAACCAGCATCTAAGTATGTACCTGCTTTTCTATTCTGTATACTTCTAGCAGCAGCTGTGAATTTCCTGCTGTTTATGATCCATGGCAATATGGCGGCGATCGGGCGGCGCATGCGCAGTTTGATACTGCACAGCCGAGATCCACGGCAAAAATGGCGGCTGTTCGCGCATGCGCAGCTCCGCTTCTTTTAACTTCGGACGATAGAGCGGGATTTTCGCGCATGCGCGAACCGCGTTTAAAAGGGAAGTCTGGGTGTCACACTGCTAGTGGCGTCCATCCTCTGAAGAAGTGCTTTTTGCACGAAAGGCCTCAGGAGGAGCCAGTAGCAAGTGTGACTTCCTGA